GCCCCCGCGCCGGCCGCCGCCCACCTTGTCCCGCAGCTCCTCGATGGTCTTATAGTAGTGGCTGTACTCGCGGGCGGGCCCGGGGCCCTGCTTCTGGTACCAGTCTCGGATCTTGACCTCCAGGTCGCCGTTGGCCGCCTCCAGGGCGCGCACCTTCTCCAGGTAGGAGGCCAGGCGGTCGTTGAGGTTCTGCATGGTCACCTTCTCGTTGCCCATCAGGAGCCCGTCGGACGCGGCCAGGGCCCCGGCATAGCCGCTGCCGTAGCCCCCATAGCCCCCAGAGGAGGAGGAGGACACGAACCGCGCGGAGGACACCGACACGCCGCGGCCGCCCGAGCCCCCGTGGATGCTGGGCGCGCGGTAGACGCCGAAGCGCATGGAGCCGCCGCCCAGGCCGCCGAAGGACGAGGCGGCGGACGACTGGCGATAGCTGTAGGAAGTCATAGCGAAAGGGGCCCGCGACACTGGGCGGAGGAGCCGGCGGAGCTGTGGTCTGCGGGAGGAGTGGCCGGGCTCTCACCTGGAGCGCTTTATGCCCGAGGGGGCGGGGGAAGGCGGAGAGGTCGGGGCGGATATCCGAGCCCCGAGGAATCTGCAGGCTCCCGAGTGCAAACACGGGCACTCTCCCCATTGGTCAGGCCCCGTGGCTCTGCCTCCGACTCCCTCCCCCAGGGGCCCGAGGCTCCTGCGCTGAGGGGAGCTGCCCCACCCGGCCCCCACCCAGCCGACTCCGGAGCCCTGACCACAGGCCCCGATCACACGCCCTCTGGTTCCCATCTTCACCCCCATCACACGCATACTTAGACACCCTCTCCCAGTTTGCCTTCTGACCCTCCCTCATAAGATCACCCTGAGTTTGACACCCCCCAGGAATTAGGGTCCCTCTGAGAGTATACACTCCACCCCTCTCCCAGGGACCCCTCGTTCAGAGTTCCCCTCTAGAATCCTGTACTGAGCCCCTGCTTGTGATCATCATTTGTGATCATAATTAACCCTCAAATTACATTTACCAGGTTCCTACACCCCATTCGGAACTAAGGCTTTCAAAGCCCACCCCTTGGGGATCACCCACACCTTGACTCCCCCTTAGCCCCCCAGATGAGAGTGCTCGGAGCGGCCCCCTTGCATGCCTCCAGAGACAAAGCTGCCCCACCCTGCTGTGTCCCTACAAAGCCACCAGGTTACAATAGGTTCCTGGGAACAGCTGCTGGGAGCAGTTCTGCAGCTGGACTGTAAAGGGCACATTCACACCTGGGAGGTGATCCCTCACTCCCGGACTCTTACCAGTCTACCCCACCCCCCACCAGGACAACCTCCTACCCTCCAGACCCAAAAGCATGCATTCATTCAGTGATCCATGATGGGGAATTTGAGCCTGAGGGAGGCAAGTAACTTGCCCATGAGACATTTAGCAACTGTCACCCAGAGAAAAAAAATAGGATGGAATCCCTCTCTCCTTGTGAGCATCTGAAGGAGGGTGTCGGAGGCTGAGTCCTTGTACCTAACAACCGAATCCTAGTGGGTGGGTGGATGGATGGATGGATGGATGGGAGGGCTCTGCAAAGATGCCCCCAAAGTGAAGTTTTGATACTAGAGGAAGGATCCGAGCCCCTCCTCTCCACTCACAGCCCTAGCCCTGCTCTACATCCCGCTCAATTCCACCCACCTTTTTTACACTATGGAGGGCCAGGCCCCCTGCCAGACACTGCAGGTCACTGCCAACACCTCAGTTCATTTACTGTCCCCAGGGACCTCATCCCTCCACCGAATTGTCCCCATGATTCCTTCTGTCCTTACGTCTAGGCAGTCACCCAGTCTCAGGACAGAGGCCCTATGACTTTTTGACTGGGTGTTAGGGAGATGGACCAGTCACTCCCTATCTCCAGGCCTCAGTTTCCCCCATGAAATATCAGCCCTCCTCTCTGCATATTATCATCTGGGTCACCAGTGGCTAAAAAAAAACTTGTCCCCAGACTCTGAAAGCAGTCCCTAATAAACTATCTTCTATATACCAACTTATCCAGGAACAGGGACTGGAAACCCCACACCCATTTCTACCTCCCACACCCATGAGCAGCCCCAAGCCACTAGGAAGACCAGCCTCAGGCTGTTTAAACTAGTAAACCAAGCCTGCAAGCCGGTAAATCCCCAGTGGGGAAAAGGGGAACCATCATGAAAGCAGGGTGTGGCTGGACCTTCACAAAGGTTGTAGCCTGTAGCCACCAGGGCTGGTCTGACATGAGTCACTCTCTTTATTTGGCCCTGAGGAAGAGGCCAGCTCCTTGTGGGGGAAGAGGAGATGGGCCAGATCGTTGCTATGTACACTAAGCCCCAGCTGGAATGTCTGTTTTTCTAGCCTGATAAGAGGGTCTGGAAAGGAACTTTGTATATTAAGAAACAGAATAGAACCAGCAGTTCTCCCCCAAAGATAAAAGGATTATGAGCTCCCTAAACTTCAGGGGAGCTTGGAGTCCCAGCCCCCTACCCAAAGACCATAATCATTAGAACAATTGACCTTAGTATAGTACCTTTTTAAAAAATAAATTATCTGCCCGGCCGGGCGTGGCTCATCGGTTGAGCATCGACCTAGGATCTAGGAGGTTGGGGTTCGATTCCCGGTCAGGGCACATGCCTGGGTTGCGGGCTAGGCAGCCGATCAATGACTCTCTCATCATTGATGTTTCTCTCTCTCTCTCCCCCTTTCTTTCCTCTCTTTGAAATCAATAAAGATATGTTTAAAAAATAAATAAAAATAGTATATATATATCTTTATTGATTTCAGAGAGAGGAAGGGAGAGGAAGAGAGAAACATCAGTGATGAGAGAGTCATTGATCGGCTGCCTCCTGCACC